CACTTTTCCAGCACCGTGTTGATTATATACACATTGTCAACATGTTGAATTTCTCTCCGCAGTTTACTGCAAGCTGCTGTAATCATGGGGTTATTGAGGAGCAGAGCCTGTGTCTGGCGGAAAGGCGCCAGTGTTGATGCTGTTTGTCTCTGCCAACGCCGCCTGGGGGGGTCGGGGCCCCAGTGGTACCCCGATTGTAAGGGCCCGCCCCTCTTTATAGGACAAGCCGATCGCTCAGGGCCCCAAGAGCCTGGGTTCTGCCCAGACTCCCACAATGCCCTCCCTGATCGGACCCTCAGCCGAATGTCAGGAAGGGGGATCTGCAGGGTGGACAGTCTGCACGCAGACGAGAGACACAAAGGACACTCTCGCACCGTAGGCCAAAGTCATCTCTGGTACAGAAGACAGTATCTGATTTCTCTGTGGATGAAAAATGTAGTTAGTTGTTGGTGTCATTTCCAGTTGTAATCTCACAACATTCAACTGTTTTCTCTCACCAGGTTATTATATTTGAATGTTGTGTCACCACTACTGCTGCTGCTACTAATGCTGCTACTACTACTACTGCTACTCCTACTACTACTGTTACTACTACTACTAGTGCTGCTACTACTACTACAACTGCTACTACTCCTACTACTATTTATACTGCTACTACTGCTACTGCTCCTACTACTACTACTGCTACTCCTACTACTACTGCTACTACTGCTACTACTACTACTACTGCTGCCACTACTACTATTACAGCTACTACTACTGCTGCTCATAGTCCTAATCCTACTACTCCTGGGCTCACACCTAAAGAAGGACTCACAGACTAAACCTTGTTTTCTCTTCTCTTTTCAGCTGGAATAAACCTACTACTTGTTCCTTTACTCCTACTACTGCTATTACTACTACTCCTGCTACTATTACAGCTACTATTACTGCTGCTGCTATGACTGCTACTAGTGCAGCTACTGCTGATACTGGTACTGCTACTACTACTGCTGCTACTACTAGTGCTACTCCTACTACTACTAGTGCTACTCCTACTACTACTAGTGCTACTCCTACTGCTACTCCCATTACTACTAGTGCTACTCCTACTACTGCTACTACTATACAGCTGCTACTATTCCTATTGCTGCTGTCGTGGCTGCTTCTACTAACAACAATACTGATAATAAACACCGCTCATCACTCCACAGTTCTCTTTCCCCATGACGGGGGAATCGACGGCTCTCGCTGCAGGGAGGCAGGTCTGTACGGGCTGGATC